TGTGAATGTCGTCTCTCTTATATAGGATAAACGAAAAATCAATTAGAACCCGCGTAAAAGAACATATAGCTGATGTGAAGCATCAACGTTCCGGGAAGTCTGCAGATTGCGATCATATCCTAAACGGCCCCAACCATTACATCAGATTTGATAGACCACAAATTCTTGCGAAAGAACACCGATTCCTACCAAGAATGAAACGTGAGGTTATTGAAATTAAAAAACATTCTAATTTCAATAGAGAAGGAGGCTGGGTACTACCACCTGCTTGGGATCCTATAATCAATAAAATTAAAACTAAACCCAAGCATACCACTGCAAGACCTCACGACACAGTCAGTTCATTTTGCATAGATCGGACCATAAACAATAATTAAAAAAGCTGAAGGTACTCCGGGTTTAACAATGACATCGGGACATAAGTCATCTCAGTCCCCCGTGACCATGGGTTATTTTTTATTAATTAAAAGTAAAATAAACGCGATAATTTCCGTAAAAGTAGTTTAATGAATGTGTAGCGTTCGTGTAAATACAAGAAATCATTAAGAAGAAATTGTTTTAAATTTTGAATACCTAATGTTAAACATTCGAATACCATTGTGCAGCTAAATACTGAAGAGTGAAGTTTTGTGTATGCTACTGTTTTTTTTTTTTGGTATTACTATTGACGCAAAACTTTAACCCCCACATATCTCTAAATTAGCTGGCATACAGTACTGCAGCATATACTGTAAGAAAAATTAGAAGTTCCCCCTATTTAAAGAAAACTAGATTAGTTTAATTTAGTTACTGATATAGCGTAATGCTTTATGGGTTTTTGCTATGTTATAATGCGACTAACATTGCATTCATCTTTTTTTTGCAAAAGAAAGCCATACGAGTGATATATAACTTAAATTCTGAAACCCCAATAGAGAAAAAAGATTACAGAAATAAACAAATTAAATTTTTCGTCGCAATATATTTATGGAATTTTAATCTATATACATAAAAACGTAAATAGATTTGATAAGAACAAAGATTTTCATACTTAAACATTAGAAACAAACAAAAGCCACACCAGTTTTAGAATTAGCAATTCATTTATGGAGCAAAATATAAGTTTTAATGACAAAATCTCAGAAAATATACAAATTTTGACAAAAAGCTAATTTAATGTTTTATTAAAGAAAAAATGTACAAAAAGCATTATTGTAATATCAAGGAAAAAAATTGGTAAATCCAAATTTGCATGCCTTAAGCGCTCATGTTATACGTCAATATTTTAAAGTATTTTAAATACGTTCAAGTGTTTACAAATACCCTTGTACTATTTGCGACAATTTTATGTAAAAGTCAATAAAAAAAAGTTTTGGAAATCCGAAAGTGCACGACTCATAATACTCATATGATCTTGAAAATATGTAAAAAAAATCTCAATCAACATTGGATTTTTTTTATTTTACTATGTTATTGTTATTGAAATTCGAATAACTTATAGTTGTTAACTGAAAAAAGCTTTTAACAGAATTATCTTAAAACGATCAGAAATCAACTTAAATATTACTTTAGTTTTTAGGTATTTGTACACGGGCATTATCGTAAAAACTAGTTTTTTTACCTCAGTAATGAATAAAAAAATTCTCATCAAGTTTATTTCGTTTCCAAAAAGTTTGTCATCTAGTTATAAACAGTATTTTAATTTAGCATTCACCAAAGTACACCTTCAGGTCACTCCATAAAATCAAGACTTATAAGTATATTTATATATAAATCCTACGTATATTCAGAAAAACAGTATATTGTAATGTAAATCTGTGATTATAAAAATAATAATATCTTACCTTGATCAAGTGTTTATGAAATTTAGTTTGTGGAACACTTTGTTTTTCTACAGTGATTTATATTATTCACCACGAGCCGCTGTAAACAAACGATACAATAATCCACTCACGACGGCGGCTGAGTCCGCAGCGAGTAAAGTGTATATGTATTAAGTAAAATCTTTTATTACAAGGCTCCACAAACACCAAAAATTTTGGATATACTCACATAATTAATTATAACTAAACAAAATAAAATTAAACAGCCATTTACATTCCATGGCTTCCCACATTATAGATGAAGAAATTAAAAAATAGTTTGAGTTGAACAATTGACAGAAAGTTATCGTGTTTACCCCTCCATGCGGAAGTGATAAATCTACACTATAAGCCACTAAAACTATTTTTGATGTAAAAATTGCAATTCAAATTAAAAATATTAATAACTTACATACATACATATAATCACGCCTCTTTCCCGTAGGGGTAGGCAGAGGCCACTTCTTTCCACTTGCTACGATCCTTACATACTTGTTTCGCTTCGTCTACTTTCATTATTCCCTTCATACATGCTCTACGGTTTAGGGTACTCTTAACCTGGCCTTTTTTCAAGACCTCCCTAATAACTTAATAACTTCCACAATCATTTATATTTCTGACAATGTGATTTTTATATCATTTATATGTTCAATATGATTGTTAGATACGATTATATGCGACAAAGCGTTGGCTTTTTGATTTTTAGGCGCTAGTTGAACATACCTACGCGCTTTGCGCTTAAGGCATGCAATATTTAAATGAAAATAGCCCATGAGAATGAGGTGATCGCCACCATGCTCTTTCTATTATAATTCCCTTCAAAAGTGTATAGACAAAATTATTATAAAATATATTGAATAAAACTAATTTTATTTTATTCTACTTTATTCTATATGCATGCTTATTTTCAGAGGTGGACTTCTATAGTCTGTAATAGATGAATTAAGGGATGATCTTCTTTCGCGGAATTAAATAATAAAATATAAACAAATATATTAAAATATAGTTCTTTTTTATTACGATGGCTCTAGAGATGTCCTCATACATTACTTCCACCTCCTCATCGGAATGTGCCGAGGTTGGTACATAAACTTGTATGACCTTCAGCGAATACAGTTTGGTGATTCTGACTATAAAGTAGGCAACCCTCGTCGACACACTCCCTATCTTTACCATGATGTGAACGAAATACTTATGGACGATAAATCCGGCACCTCCTTGGAACAGATTGTAGCACTCCCGGTGATAGAACAAGTTTCCGGATTCGAAGATTACCGTGCCCTACCCCTCTCTTCAGACCTCAGATAATTTTATAATATCCCAGCGCAACTTGTCTATCTTATTTTCCAGCTCCAGGATTTTCACTTCATTGTCTTATAAGACGAAAAATTATGTATAATTTAAAATATCTTTATATTAAGACTTAATAAGCCCTAAAAAACAGAAAAGTTAAGACTTACGTCTTTCCTGTTGTTACAGTTTATTTTGCCACACTTAGGATGTTTTTCATTAAAACAGATCAAACAATAATATTTTTGCACCCAGTGAATTCTGTTAGTGTTTACTTAACTTTTTTGTCAGCCTGTGGACTTAGCAAGAAGTCACGGAATTTTCATAAAATTCGATACATCTCCTATTCTTTGAACCTTTTTCGAGATGACGTATTTTGTTTGTTGCGGGTTCTGTAAAGATAAAGAAGTCGCCCGAGTTACATATGCCCACCGAGACCTTGCAAGCAATCAGGAAATTACCTACCATACACCATCGCCTGACTTAAGAATATTCAACAGATTGCCATCAAGAATTTACCTATCACCTGCTAAGCAAAAAACCAGCAGGACCTTAAAGACATGACCTAATTAACTTACGTGACTTAAGAATATTCAACATAGCTAGTAAAATAGCAAATAAAAGTAATATTGGAAAAGTCTTCGTCTCCTTCCACTTCAACCCTCCCTAAGCTGCCGCAAACGTAAGCACACAGCGCAATTTCTATTGCGATGCACAATCTGGCTGCGTTAATCTAACGCAGGGTGCGGTACAAGGTAAGCGGGGATACACGGTGTTCCCAAACTTGTTCCGCACTTTACTAAAATTTCATTTATTCAGTGTGGCACAAGGTTTAAAAAACCCTCTATTAAAGTAGATATACCACAGAACTCGGGATCAATACCACATCCCTATATATATTTATCTCTTTCCTACACTTGATGCAAGTAGATGTTACGAGTACGACTTCCACACAACAGAGAAGTCTATGTTTTTCTTGACGTACCACAGGCGAGACATGGACAAGGTGTTTCAGGGTTCACATTAAACGTGTTAAGAGGGTATGCAGTTGGTGAAAGTTCTATTTTTATTTTGCACATCAGAATAATACGCGTTAGTGCACGAGTGATTAATTGAAGGGTGCTAGTTTATATATGGAAACATTATGTAAAACGTGAACTTTGTGTAACAAAGGAACTTAGAATTGATGTCAAAATAGATAATCCAAAATATAGATGAAACTAAAGTAAATAAATCTCATGTCTATTCCTTTTAAACCTTGATTGAAAACAATCATAATATCGAGGGTTTACTGCAAAAACCAGCTAAGTTCAGCGAAGTTAGTTTTGAGTTAAAGAGTTCTAAAAGTTTACACCTAATTTAATCACTAAAATTTTGGTAGGTCTTACATACATTAGTAGTCATATGTTAGAATATTTATATAAGATTATGTTTATGTGAAGTCTGAATAAATATGTGTGACAGAAATCTTGAAATAAGGATTTTTTCAAGTAAAGGCGTGCAGTTAGTCGGTTTTACATGTCAATTGCTAAAATGCAGTTTTACCGAGATAATTGATGTTTTATATGGTTTGTGATTAATGATGGGTAGCTGATAATAAATAACTACGTTTTAAATACTGATACAATCATAAAAGAAATAATTTATTGTGTAAGCTATGAAAGAAAAAAGTTAGTTGGTTTTACCTGTAAATGTTTTTTAACTTTTAGGATAAAAGTGTTGTAAAATAAGAGGTTAAATTCACAATATTATTTTTATTGACTAATAAAAATTATAATAGAATCAGTTTGAAAGTGGAGAAGAAGAGTGTGGAGTGTAACTACTATAGTATTTTCATTAAATTTAACAAATATCTTAATTATTAAGAAATCACTCTTCTTCTCCACTTACAGTTTCATCTACTGCTGGTTCTGGCAATTTATCAATAGCTTGACTGTCAACATTTAAATTTTTAAACCAACCGTGAACTTCCTCTGGTATGATGCCTTTCCTACATAGATTTAAAAGATCTTTTTTCTTGGCCGCGCTTATTTTAAGTGGCTCTTTATAAAGGCAGTTTAATTGATCTGGAAATCGATAACTTACAGGTAAATCATTTTCAGTAAGTCGTTTCTTCTTCCTTGTTGAATAGTTGTGATTCTGCGCGCCATCTAATTGGAAAGTTGATGGATTGTCTCCAATATCCATTACGTTAAATTCGTCGCTCATGTCATAGTTGAAATAAATTTTTCTGTCCTCCCCTTTAACATATTTTATCCGCTTTATCTTCAACCATTGAACTTGTTTTCCTTTCTCATCTTTCGTTCTATTTTTCATAATCTCACCTGCAAGGTGCTTCAGGTCAAGGAACTCATCATACTTAAATTCTTTTACATGGTATGGTTCTCTTGTCATTTTCTTACCATCAATTTTAATACTTTGCCTGCGTCTAGCACGTTTGAAAATAGAAATCCATTCCATCATAGAAAAAACAGAGGTATTTTTTTTTTGCAAATTCTATACTACTGTGCATAGAATCTGCTTCCATTTGCGTGTGCCCAGATTCTAAAAACTTTTGTTCTATGACTTTAAGGTGGTCAATTTTTTGGACTGCCCAAAGAAGCAAAGCAGCCACAAATTGGTTTCGGTTTTGGCCACCACAAGTGTCTGAAAATAAGCTAATTTCTGTAACATTATCACAGACACAATTTAAAAGGTAGTGTAATAATATGGTTCCAATTTCAGAACTGCCTTTCCTTCCATTTACCTCTGACCATGTAAAACAAAAGGCATTATTGGGTAGAGCTGCTTCGTAGATTGTGAGGTTGTATACACACAACTTTCTTGAATAATAGAGCAGACCTACGTCGCTGGCAGGTATTTGAAGTACTGCTTGCAAATCAAATGTTACAGAGCTAAAATGCTCATCTGTGTTTGATCTAACTTTATCCTTCTCTTTTTCTCGATTGCAAATTTTCTTTCTTTCTTGGTGAGCTAGGTAGTCATCTTCAAGTTCTCTTTTTTTCTCTGTATCTGCTTTAGCATAATTAGTGCATATTAAGCATTGATCTTTCCTGGGCACGAAAAAACTCAGATTATACTCTTTTGAAAATATTCTACGGTATGTTATTTCAGAAGCTGGCTCAGAACCATTTTTTAAACACTGATCTTTGTACAATAAATACATCCTTCGAATATTAAGATTTTTTATCTAAATACCTACGTTTGGTGTCTTTTCTACTATAATGGGCTTCCATACAAGGAAATGATTCGATGTGTTTTTTTATTCCTTGGATAATGTCAGGTTTCGTTTTATTAACTGGTTCGTGTGCACCTCTTTGGTCATTTACATCAAAACAGTTCATGTCATTCCGTTTATTGATTGCATCAGTTATTACTGCAGGAGAAATACTTAAAGTATTACAAAAAAATTTCTGACATACCTGTTTTTTTAAATTTTGTTTAGTAAAGAAACACTTCTTTGTATATTTTTTTTCTGGACGACGTCGATTACGCACAGAGAGAACTCTTTTTGGCATTTGAATGGTAACATTGGCTAAAATAAAATTCTTTCTGCCCAGAAAATCTAAGTTCCAAAAGAATCCACAAAACTTATCTCATCAGTAGTATCAAAGACATCAGTACATTTAAATTGACACTTGGAGCAATCTATCTCTTTAGGTACCTTAGCTGGTATGATGTTAGCTTTGGATTTATAAGGCAAACCATCTGCTCGTCTTTTCTTAACTACATTACGAGCCCAACTGCTTGGGTCTGATTTTCGCCATCTTTTTAACGGTTCAATAAGTAACCAAGCTTTTTTAAAAACCTCATCCAAAATATCTTCAATTATAGCTGTAATTTCGCGATGTTGTTCATAACCTTGGTCAAAAACTTCAATATTGTTCTGTATGTGCTCGACATCAAACTTTTCAGCATTAAAGTTTTCTTTGTTTCCTAGTAAATCTTCTAATGTTACAAGATTGTTGGAATTTTCGTTTTCCAGTTGGTGAGAGAAAATTGGCAGGCGATAAGTTGGGTCGTCAGCATCGGAAACATCTCCAAATAAACTTTCCAATTATGTTTCAACATTATCATCAGAATCTTCGCCTAAAAGAGACACAAATGCTAAGTTAAGATTCAGATTAAGAGGTCTTAAATTATAAATTTTGGATGTACTTTATTAAGAAAAAGATAGTATTTTTACCTTTTTGGTATTTAGAACAGCATGCCGTAGATTTAATGAGAGTATTGAAGAACGTTTCGTTACCCGGACCATCTAAAAATACAGTATAAAGTTTAAGCATTTTGATTAGTATTGGATCTTATTCTTTTTTTTAAACGTTTAATTAAACGTTTAATGTTGGCATTTGACTTGTCATTTTTATAAACCTTGACACAAGCCATCCATGTTTATTTGAATACTAGAAAGTATGTAAAAAAGTCGTCTTTATCGATCTCAAACGCGAGTGATAATATAATAGTCTATAGTAGTATGTACTATTATAAATTAAGTACTTAATATTTTACCATGAATTTGTGAATGATGAAAGTCTATAGCATCCGCGTTGTTATAAGATGTAGATTGAATTTCTTGAATATCTACCAGGCCTGCATGTGAACTTTGTTCATTTTCTAAAAAATAAACAACTCTATAAGAAAAAATGAACAGAAATTGTAATAAAACTTCGTTAGAAAACACAACCTCGAAATTTAACTTACCAGAAACCTTTTCACAATTTACGGCCACTAAAGATACTAGTTTTTTTCCTCTTGACATCATCTTAACAAATATAATCTGTCACAACACTTACAATTACTAAAAACTAAATTTAAATACTACGCCCGATACATTCACGGTCTTTTCGCGGTAAACACTCCAAGCGAACTAAGCCATCGGCAACTTGTTAAAACGTGTTGACCGCGGTTATTTTTTTTTCCATAGTGTCACATGACGACAATTCAATCGAAGTATATTGCATAAACAAGCTAGAATCGCTTAGTCGGTTTTACATGCTAAAGATCCGAGATAAATGGAATATTTTAGTACAAGTATTTACAATTAAAGTTATATAGACGGTTTTTGCAGTAATGTTTTAATGGCATGATAAACAAGTATATTCTATTATATACGTTTATGTATTTCTAGTACTTTTTTTACTGATTGTTCGTGAGAACATTTTGCGTAACCTATCAAAAAGAGAAAGGATTTAAGAACACTTAAAACTTTTTTCGGGATAACATTAAATGGAAATTTATTAGTAAAGAACTTTATGTTATTTTAGCTATTAAGTATAGGCCATTTTGCTTGATTTAACTGGTTTTACCATGAAATAAATTCTAAACGGCTTAACGTATCACTTAGCCGGTTTTACCAGCATATAGAGCTCAAAAAACTTAGTACCTTCATGTATTTAACAAATTTTTTGAAAAATTGTCATTTAGCAGGTTTTTTGCAGTAAACCCTCGATATATTATTTAAAAGAAATTACAAAAAAAGACATGTTTCCACTTTCTGTGGAATTTCTTTTTCTTCTTTTTAACAGATGAGGGACCTCGTAATGGAACGGTTCTAGATTGTAGAAACGTTAACGTATGCCAACCTTTTTCTTTTTACTTTTAAAGGTTCTATTGGCGTTAAATCAAGTGTTTTCATTTCATCTCATTTTAATTTCCGCAAAGTTACAAAGTAATTAGTGCACGGAATTGAGAGAGGGCAAGGATATGATCTTCAAAGTAGATATGACACACATTTAATTTCTTTATGATATTTCACATAATGAATTTACGCAAAGTTATGCATGATTTATATTTATATAAAATAATTATGTGTTAAGATAAAGGATACCACAATGCAACACTATTAAACACTAAACAGCAATTGGCATGGTCAACACGCGGTAAATCGGCAATACATACGTAGTTACCTCATAGTGAACAAGAAAGGTGTGAGTCTTGCCACCGCCCACTTCACCGCGTCAAAAACCGGTCGTACCTGCGTTGCATATACAGGGGTATCAATTAGTTAGTTACTTAATATTTAATAGTAAACGAATATAATTATTATTCTTAGGTTGTATATCATATAGGTTGTTATGTATACGGTCGGGGAGCGAGTTAAACGGCCAGTAGCTTGCTATGCACTGGTTTAATAACAGAGGGCGCGTGGGCACAGCCACGCATTTTAATACATAGCTATACAAATGTATATACATACATAACAATTCCCCACCCTATTTTAGAATACAAGAATAAAATAAATTATAATAAAAGACGACAACTATAACCTAAAAGAAACGCTTATAATCAACCTTGGGACGGGGGCGCAGTCTATATCTAGTGGCTTCGATTCGACCATCATTAAAATCTGCTTCTGTTTCGTGGAACTCGTCGTCCTCCTCCGACCGAGGCGGCACAGGGTTCTCTACTTCATCACTTTCCCCACGACGTGGCGAACCTTCTCGTTCTGTCGTGGTAACTAGGCCGGGGTCTTTGGTAGACGCCGGATGAAGTGGTGACGATGATGATGGTGATGGTGATGGTGATGTCGGCAGCGATGGCGGTGGTGTAAAAGTGTTTCCGGTGTCGCAATTGTTCCCTTTCTCGTAAGCGTCCACGTCCCATGCGTTACAGTCATCACTTTGAGCTTTATATAAAATTAATTGATTTTGATGCTTTCGATAACATATTTGCGTGTCCCAATCTTTTACTAAGTAGATAACTTTGCCAATTCTTTTTGTTATCGTTCCCTTACACCAGTTAAACTTGTTATTTACATATTTTTTATATAAAACGAAAGTTCCAGGTAGCATTTGTTTAATACGTACTGGTTCTTCCTTATGTGAACATTTTTGCGCATTTATTAAATCGGATGAAGCCGCAGACGTAGACAGCGATGACGTAGGTACCAATCTGTCTAAGCGCGAGTTTAGCTTTCGCCCAAAAATCAACTCGGCGGGTGACATGCCGGTGGTCGAGTGCTTTGAATTCCGGTAATCAAACAAAAACTTTAATAAATTGTTTTTTGATTGTTTTGTGTTGCTGCTGGACATAATACTTGATTTTATACCCTTTTTGACTATTTTTACATAACTTTCGGCTTGACCGTTACTTGCCGGGTGATACGGTGGGGACGTAACGTGTGATATCCCGTTTATTTCACAGAAACGTTTAAATTCTTGTGAAGTAAACGCTGTTCCATTGTCACTTACAATCGTTTGCGGTATGCCGAACCTAGACATGAATTCGTACATCTTTTCAATGACTGTATCGGAGGAAGTAGAACTAGCTGTATCGTATATCTCCGGCCATTTAGAGTACGAATCAATGACCACTAAATACATTCGACCGGCTATGGGACCCAGGAAATCCATATGTACGCGGGTGAAAGGGCGGTGTGCCCGAGGCCAGGGGCCGGCGGCGCGCGCGGAGGGGATGGCCGCAGATTGATGCATACCTCACATGTCCCTATCATATGTTCTACGGCCTCATCTACACCCGGAAACCAAAATCTGGATCGAACTTCGGCCTTGGTTTTTACGATACCCAGATGTGTTTTGTGTAACTCAGCTAACACCCTTTTTACGCAACGTCTCGGGAATCACGACCTTATGACCTCTCATTAAGCATCCATTTTCAACCGAGAATTGCGTTCTACATGAAAAATAAGGCTTAAGGTACAAATCAGTTATTTTCTTAGGCCAACCGTGTTTAACATATTCGGTTACTTTAGATAAAATTTTGTCCCTTTTTGTTTCATCTCGTAGTTCCGAAACCGTAATCGGTAAACTCGTGTCGACCACAAAACACACGTAAGCCGCGCGGTCGCTCGAAGTGAAGTCGTCCGCAGTGCACTTATCGAGTGCGCCTGCACCCGTGTCGGGCGCGCGCCTCGCTTCCGAAATACTTGAGCGAGATTAATAGTCGGCGCTGTTATCAGCGCTTCGTATATACTCGATCGTATACTTATACGCGCTTAGAAACATTGCGTACCTCTGTAGTCGATTCGCCGATACTTCCGGAATGCCTTTATACGGCCCGAATATCGAAATTAGTGGCTTATGATCTGTTCTTAATACGAACGGATTTGTTCTACCGTACAAATACTGATGGAAGCGCCGAACTCCAAATATAATTGCGGTCGCTTCTTTCTGTATTTGTGAATATCGTTTCTCTGCGGTATTTAGAGTTCGCGATGCAAACGAAATCGGTCTTTCTTGCCCGTCGGAACCTACTTGCGACAGTATCGCACCCAAGCCAACCGGAGACGCGTCTACAGTTAGGATTAGCCTTGCTTCGGGGTTGAAGTGGGCGAGTACCTGGTCTGAAGCTAATACCCGTTTTATTTTAGTGAATGCCTCTTGATGATCTAGACCCCACGACCATTTTACCCCCTTTTTTAGCAGATTATAAAGTGGGCTTAAAACAGACGCTGCACTTGGTACAAAGTTTCTATAATAATTTACTAGGCCCAAAAACGATTGCAGTTGGCTTATATTTGATGGTGCAGGGGAGTCTACTATTGCTTTAATTTTATCTGGAGACTTTTTCAACCCATTTTTATTGATAACATAACCCAAGTAGTTAACCTCATCTTTATAGAACTCGCACTTCTCCCTTTGCAAGGTCAATCCTGCTTCTTGTAAAGTCTGCAACACCGCCCGAAGGCGTGCAGCGTGTTCGGCGTCGTCACGCCCCGTAATGAGCACGTCATCCAACAAACACAGCACGCCCTCCTGTCCACCAACTAGGCCCTCCATCGCGCGCTGAAAAATTGCTGGCGCTGGAGCAAGCCCAAAGACTAGCCTAGTATACTTGTATAATCCACGATGAGTATTAATTACAGTGTACCTTTGTGACTCGTCATCCAGCTCAAATTGGTTATAAGCCATAGATAAGTCTAATTTGGTGAATTTTTTTCCACCATAAAGCTTTGCAAACAATTCCTTGGCAGTTGGCAGAGGATACTGGTCGATAATTAATTGCCTATTAATACTAACCGAGTAATCCGCACACAAGCGAATAGTGCCATTTCTTTTTAAAACAGGGACTATAGGGGACGCGTAGTCTGCGTGGTCAACCGGTTTTAATACCCCTAACTCAACCATTCTATCTAGTTCACTGTTTATCTTATTTCGTAGGGCAAATGCAATCGGTCTCGCTTTAAAGAAAACTGGTTTTGCATTATCTTTTAACTGTAAGTGCACCTTATGTTTAGTAAAACGACCTAATTTATCCGAAAAAAGAACTGGAAATTGACATTGCAGTTCTTCCACGGAGGGAAGGGTACCCTGACAGTAATTCACCGTTGATAAAACTGATGATAACTCTAATTGGAATGTAGATATAAAGTCCCTACCGAGGAGCGGCGGCCCGCCGTCCCGGACGACGTACACGTCGAGCGTGTGTGAGCGGTTAGTATAGTACACGGGCAACCGAATTGTGCCTACACATGTTATGCTATCACCCGTGTAGCTCATCAACCTTTTATGCGGAACGATCAATGGAATATCTTTAAAATGAGATTTATATAATTTTTCCGGTATCACAGTTACGGCTGAACCGCTATCTATTTCAAACTTAAACGCCGTTCCACGAATAAACACGGTCTCGACCATCGGTTCACCCCGCAAGGAACGAATTTTAAATACCTTACCATCATCACCGATGTCTTCGTCTCCGGCTCCATTATCTACGTAGTTAACTTTATTTGACGTACACATTCTACGTAAATGGCCTACGACGTTACACTTCCTACATACGAAATCCGCATACCGGCATTCC